GGGTCGGGATCGAACCCACGAGTCTTAACTCGTTTTATCGGTTACAATTCTGACAGTGCTTTTTGTTGCTGGCCGGCTTGATGTTTGATGCCTTTGGGCCTACCGTAATCAGCAATTATGTTTAAAATAAAAATTACTTCCGTCACTGTTTGTTGTCGTAACGTTCTTACCCGCCCCTAACTGGACATCCGTGAAAAAAAAGCTTTACAGCTCATCAGATTCCTCCAGCATAAATAAATATTCTTGTAAGTGACAAAGTGGTCGAGCGCTCCCACGTTCAGGAGCGCGTCGTTGGCGGGTCAACGACAATTCCACTCGGCCACTCATCGATGCTTGGCAGTGCCCCGGGTAAATATCGTCCGGTGGCCGCGTGGTCCCCCCCAACGAGGTGAAATAAGTTCGGGTCCTGCCCGCGTGGCCGTGGTGGGTGGGGGGTACCCTTCGCGTGCGTTAAAGAATTTACAATCCAAAAGCTAACCCGACGGAGTCTAACTGTCTCTGATAATTATTCTAGAGAGGCCACATAATCATGTTTGAGATTTTTGTTTGTTTGTTACACACATAAAGGAGGGTGCATCGTTCGTAGATACCCCACTGAAAAAAAATATTTTAAAAAGATACTCGGAAAAGAAACTAAGTTTAAATTTAAAGTCTGTACACGTTCTCTCACCAATCTCGATAAACTTTCACACACACACACTCATTACATCTGTTTACCACTCTCTTGACACACTGTTGCCCAACATAATATTGCCCCGCCTGCATCGCTTGCAACTTCCAAAGATCAGAATCATAATAGTTATTTATGCTGGAGGAATCCGATGAGTTACATATCTCTTTCGATTTAAAGCTTTCGTGACTGCAGGGATTCATCTTCTTGGTTCTTTCGGTAAAGTCACGTAGAAGGGAAGTAATAAAATAATAAAAATAAAACATAATAAAATAATTCTCACGACGTTTCGGCCACAACGCAAGCAGCCGTCCTCAGGTGAAAACCAGGTCCGTCGAGGCGACAGAGTCTGAATGAAACAGCACACGAGCTTGGAGCATATATATAAGCTGGGCGCATTGACAAATGAATTTGCATATCAAAAGGAATTTAGCATATTTATGGGAAATGCAGGAATGTGATTAGTACTGCATATGCATGTGCATTATGCAGGATTAACAGCATCAAAGGGAGCTGCAGTTACTGCTGCTGCAGCAGTTGCTGCTGCTGCTGCAGTTTCTGCTGCTTCTGCAGTTGCTGCTGCTGCTGCAGTTTCTGCTGCTGCTGCAGTTTCTGCTGCTGCACTTGCTGCTGCTGCACTTGCTGCCTTATCCATTTTAATATAACACTATGTATTATCCTACCCACCCTAATGTGTATCATACTGCTATATGTTTACTGTACAATTACGACACCATACATTACTCTGCACACTGCACCATGCCAGTGAGTGGAACGCGGTCTGAAAGTCACCGTTAATCGTGAACACAATCAGTTAAGATCCGAAATGGTTTATTACGTCCTTCCAATGATTGCTAAGCCAGAATCCATCTTCTCGGTTGAAATTGTCTCTGTGTTTGTATATGTGGATCGCCTCATGAACGAATCTCTCATGATAGCCAGATGGCTTGCAGAGAACCTCTGTCTTGGAGAAGTCAATGTCATGTGAGCCCACTGAATTGTAACAGTGATCTGCCACGGCTGAGGTGTTTGTCCTACCGTGTTTCAGGTCTGCCTTATGTTCACGGATGCGGTCCGAGACATGTCGTTTGGTTTCTCCAATGTAACTGCTACCACAGAGGCAACTTAGTTTGTAGACGCCAGGGTACTGTATGTCTGGAACCACATCTTTTACAGACGGGACCAGATCACGGATTTTATGTACTGTGTTGAATCGGACCTGGATCTTGTGTTTAATCAGGATTTTGGAGATATTTTTTGTGACCCCAGCAATGTAGGGTAAGGTGATGGTCTTGAAAGGCTCCTCAACAGGATCCTTCTTGATGGTTGGAGTGATGGCTTTGCGGATTGTGTAGTCGGAGTAACCATTAGCCTTAAGAGCTTGGCGTACGTGTTTGAGTTCACTGGAAATGTGTTCATGGTCGGAGATGCATTGGGCTCTATGATATAGAGTCTTGATGAGGGAATTCTTCTGGGATGGATGGTGGTGGGAATCCGGTTTTAGATAAGCATCCGTGTGGGTGGCTTTCCTGTAGACAGAGTGGCTCATTGAACCATCAGGTCTCCTTTTGATTAGGACATCCAAAAAGGGTAGCTTGCCATCATTTTCGACTTCCATGGTGAATCTGATGGCTGGGTGTATGGAATTGATGTGGTCGAGAAATTGGTCTAGAGCAGGCCGGCCATGTGGCCAGATGACAAAAGTGTCGTCTACGTACCTCTTCCATAAGGTCGGGCGTAGAGTGGCAGTCTGGATGGCGTCCGTCTCAAATTGAGGGCACCCCAATGGGCTCCCCCCTATCTCCGGTTGTAGCCAACATCTTCATGGAGAAATGGAAGAGGTACGTAGACGACACTTTTGTCATCTGGCCACATGGCCGGCCTGCTCTAGACCAATTTCTCGACCACATCAATTCCATACACCCAGCCATCAGATTCACCATGGAAGTCGAAAATGATGGCAAGCTACCCTTTTTGGATGTCCTAATCAAAAGGAGACCTGATGGTTCAATGAGCCACTCTGTCTACAGGAAAGCCACCCACACGGATGCTTATCTAAAACCGGATTCCCACCACCATCCATCCCAGAAGAATTCCCTCATCAAGACTCTATATCATAGAGCCCAATGCATCTCCGACCATGAACACATTTCCAGTGAACTCAAACACGTACGCCAAGCTCTTAAGGCTAATGGTTACTCCGACTACACAATCCGCAAAGCCATCACTCCAACCATCAAGAAGGATCCTGTTGAGGAGCCTTTCAAGACCATCACCTTACCCTACATTGCTGGGGTCACAAAAAATATCTCCAAAATCCTGATTAAACACAAGATCCAGGTCCGATTCAACACAGTACATAAAATCCGTGATCTGGTCCCGTCTGTAAAAGATGTGGTTCCAGACATACAGTACCCTGGCGTCTACAAACTAAGTTGCCTCTGTGGTAGCAGTTACATTGGAGAAACCAAACGACATGTCTCGGACCGCATCCGTGAACATAAGGCAGACCTGAAACACGGTAGGACAAACACCTCAGCCGTGGCAGATCACTGTTACAATTCAGTGGGCTCACATGACATTGACTTCTCCAAGACAGAGGTTCTCTGCAAGCCATCTGGCTATCATGAGAGATTCGTTCATGAGGCGATCCACATATACAAACACAGAGACAATTTCAACCGAGAAGATGGATTCTGGCTTAGCAATCATTGGAAGGACGTAATAAACCATTTCGGATCTTAACTGATTGTGTTCACGATTAACGGTGACTTTCAGACCGCGTTCCACTCACTGGCATGGTGCAGTGTGCAGAGTAATGTATGGTGTCGTAATTGTACAGTAAACATATAGCAGTATGATACACATTAGGGTGGGTAGGATAATACATAGTGTTATATTAAAATGGATAAGGCAGCAAGTGCAGCAGCAGCAGCAAGTGCAGCAGCAGCAGCAAGTGCAGCAGCAGCAGCAAGTGCAGCAGCAGCAGCAAGTGCAGCAGCAGCAGCAAGTGCAGCAGCAGCAGCAAGTGCAGCAGCAGCAGCAAGTGCAGCAGCAACTGCTGCAGCAGCAGCAACTGCTGCAGCAGCAGCAACTGCTGCAGCAGCAGCAACTGCTGCAGCAGCAGCAACTGCTGCAGCAGCAGCAACTGCTGCAGCAGCAGCAACTGCTGCAGCAGCAGCAACTGCTGCAGCAGCAGCAACTGCAGCTCCCTTTGATGCTGTTAATCCTGCATAATGCACATGCATATGCAGTACTAATCACATTCCTGCATTTCCCATAAATATGCTAAATTCCTTTTGATATGCAAATTCCTTTGTCAATGCACCCAGCTTATATATATGCTCCAAGCTCGTGTGCTGTTTCATTCAGACTCTGTCGCCTCGACGGACCTGGTTTTCACCTGAGGACGGCTGCTTGCGTTGTGGCCGAAACGTCGTGAGAATTGTTTTATTATGTTTTATTTTTATTATTTTATTACTTCCCTTCTACGTGACTTTACCGAAAGAACCAAGAAGATACATATCTCTTGTTTACAGATGTCCAGTATGATGCTCAGGGTGAGATCATGATAATCGCTGCCTCGCTCTTTCGCGGATGTGTTGTCGCTCTCTCCGATGTACATGTGTTTTCGGAATGTTAACCGCGCGATGTCCGACGTTTCGCTCCACATGGTGGGAATTTCTTCTTCAGGAACGGAACTGAACATCCATTTCCCCGGGGGAGGACTTTATAATTGAATGTTTACTTCGCAAAGAAGTTAAACATTCTATTGTCGGACATCACGTGGAACAAACAACGCGATATAACCTGAATTAAAAAAAACATCAGTGAGCTCTACAAGAGGCTAATTAGAAATAATCGATGTGCTCTATATCCACATATCACTACATTTACAATGACAAAGATTCCCCTATAGCCTTAACAGACTGTAGGACCAAGTGCTGTTAGCCAGCACCTACGAAGCCCGGCATGGCACGCGAGGGGGTAGGTGGCCAGAACCACGCCCGGCCGCCTTTGTCTCCCTCGTGGCGATGTTTAGACACGGCACCAGATACTCATTTGAGGCTGAGTCGAGCTAGGATAGGCCCAGAACCGGCTCAGATAATCTTCGCTGGGGTTGACCGTGAGTGGGAATCGAACCCGCGTCGCCGGGTTCCTAGTGCAGCGCGCTGACCGCTGCACTACCGCTCCCCATATACAAGTCACTGTGCACACACACACACACAGTATACATGCGCATGCTATGACTGAGCTCAATGCATGCGCCCTATTGCGCAACAGACTCCCACATGTGGTTTCTGCTGTGGAACCAGACGCCCAACCTTACCTCTCCGCGAAACTTGCACGGGCGAAACCCAACGCGAGGCGAGACGAAAAGCCTCCGTGCGTGCCGCGGTAGTAACCCCGACGCTCGAAACGTCGGACACACGGACGGAGGCAGGCGACGCAGCGTAAAACCCGCGTGGCGAGAGACACCGAGAGAGAGAGACAGAGAGACGCACACCACACAGATAGAGAGAGCGCCCTTTGCTCTCAAGGGCTCGGTAGCGGAAGAGCTATGTGGCGTCAAGAGATCAACAGAGAGTGAAAGACGGAGAGGCGCGACTCTCACCCCACACACGCACACAGATAGAGAGACGCACACACTCACACCAGAGAGAGAGAGGGGCGCCCACTCTCGCAGCCACTGAGCAAGCAGCGAAAACAGGCACGGAGGGGAGGGCTTCGCCAAACACGACGCAACTTTTGCCGTGCGGAGGGCGGGGTCCTGTGAGCTGCTCGAGTGGGGGGTGTGGGAATGTTGTGTGGCGGTATGACTGGGTGAGTGGATACGTGCTCAAATGTGTGGTTGAGCCGTTGTGTATGTAGCGGCGGGGGGTGGTGTGAGTGCGTGGTTGGGCGGTTTCCGTGAGTGGCCGGGTGGTTGGATGAGTGGCTGTGTGGTTGGGTGAGTGGGTGGGCGCGTGATTGGGTGGTGGTGCGCGTGGCTGGGTGATTGGGCTAGTGGCTGTGTGGTTGGGTGAGTGGGTGGGGTCCATGGTTGGGTGGGTGTGTGCGTAGCTGGGTGCACGGTCGGGTGAATGGCTGTGTGGTTGGGTTAGTGGCTGGGTGGGTGGATGAGTGGCTGTGTGGTTGGGTAAGTGGGTGGGGTCCATGGTTGGGTGGATGTATGCGTAGCTTAGTGCACGGTTGGGTGGTTGGGTGAGTGACTGTGGGGTTGGGTGAGTGACTGGGTGGTTGGATGAGTGGCTGGGTGAGTGGGTGGATCCATTGCTGGGTAGGTGTGTGCGGTTGAGTGGGTACGTTAGGGGGGTTGTTGCGTGGCTGAATAAGCGATTCGATGCGCGTAGGTGTATTGTGAGTGGCATTATAGGGTGGATCGGTGGTCGGGGCTCGAGTTAACACCTGAAATCCCTTCCGGCGGCAACATTTCTGAGCGAGAAGCAGCAGCAGAAGCAACCCGGACTCCACCTGCCCATGGTCGTCACCCGCGTGTGAGCGCGCGACATTTCCTGCATTTGGGTTTATCTCTGCGGACGCAAAGCAGCCACGGTGCCATCAGATTCCAGCAACTGCAAGCGAGAGGCAAAGTAATGCCGCTGCACGTATCGCGGTTGGGGGACTGAATTTGCGTTTGGTAACTTCTGTACGGTCGCTCGGGTCTGGGATGGTGGCGTGGGCATAGCGGTTGTTGGCACATTAACCCCTGGCACCTGGGTCTATCCTGTGACCTCCTCTGTCAGCGAGCCTTCGACACTTACACGTGGCCATAAAGTGCACCTTGGCCTGCCACAGACGCTGTGGTGACGTCACCGTCACTTAGTGACACACACACACTGCGCCATGAATGCGCCATGAACCTGGCGACCTGAGTTCGACCTGAGTTCGATTCCCGAATCCTGGCCACGGATAACATCAGTGGGGGGGAAATATATATTGACCCCAACGCCCTCTCCCGCCCCCACTCCTCACGACTCTAGCCCTTCACTAACTCCCACTGAGCAGCGTCGTGGTGAAGTATGATCCAACAACCCCCGAGGTGTGGAGAGGCCTTCATCCAGCAGTGGATAGACACGGCCTGTAAGCAGGGGTATGCGGGACCCGGGGCAAACCCCACCGTGTTGACCCGGTGCCAACACACTTTCAAAGCTAAGTGTTACATCTGACACCACTGTGGCGTCGTCAGAGTGCGCCCCCCCCCCCAAAGCGTGGGGCCCGGGGCTCTCGCCCCGATTCGCCGTCTGTAAGAATGTGTTAAGCTGGTTGTGATTATACCCTGTAAGTTCAAAATGGAATGTCACTCTGCTTCATTCATACGAGACTTCGGACGCATGGTGGATATTTTCTTATTTTTTTGGTCTTGAGTTTGAACGAGTCCAGCCTTTGGCGATTGTTTAGATTTTTTCGCCCGATATAAACGTCCACGTGATAAGTCACTTCGTCGAGCTATCATGTGTGGCCAGGTTGCGTCTGAAAGAAAATCAAACAGCTTAACGGGCATTGCCTAGTTAGATAAAACAATTATTTCGTATTATTTGTAGATTTATTTTTTAAGTGATTCGTTGACCGTTCCTATACTTTGCACCCCTATCGCGTTTCTGTATTGTTTGTTGTTGTAACGTTCTGACCCACCCCTACTGGACATCTGTGAATAAGAGTTTTATAGCTCATCGGATTCCTCCTCCCGTCGAAATAAATATTCTAATTCTGGTGGATGGCTCTTGCTTCAAACATCCGGCACACATGAACAGCTTACACCAATATCATCCGGTATATTCGGACCTCCGATTAGCACGGTTGGCTACGTACGGTGCGAAAGAAGTTCAACATACATACATACATCCCCCTTTGTCAATCCACCTTCCCGGCCTTCAACCTACACTAACCAGTGTGGTGAAGTATGGTCAAACAGCTTCCATGACCGTCGGTCAAGACGTCGGGATAACCTCCATCGAGCAAAGGATGCGCCATTATTCGCATTCTCATTTGTAGTTCTTATAGTATAACAAGCTCATATCGTATACTGGTAATACCTATAAGATATACAACGTATAGGATTGGATCATATTTGGACGTGTATCGTGTTCTTTGCAAAACGGTTTTGATTGAACGCCGGTAAATGCACGATGCCATCTCGCGTTGTGGACGGATGCTAAACATCGCTGCAGATGCGATCCCATTACACACGGAGCTGCATATCGGCATCATCGCGCTTAGTCGCGAAACGGGTTTGGTTAATCCCATGGCACGGACTATCTTCGTTTGCTCTCTGCACGCAGCATAGAAAACGCGCCAAGTGTCCCAAAATTGCCCGGGGAAACCCGCGGGTCTCGACTTGTGTGCTTTGGCAAACATTCCTCCTCGCGGAAGCAGGTGAGAGTGAGTGAGCGCAACATGCGATGCACGAGCGCCTTGTCAAACCCCGAACGTGTTGCCTGTGTCCACGCGTAACTCAGCTGCCGAGCGTGGCGGGGTCAGCTGGGTTTGACGTCAGAGGGGCTATTCCGGTGTCCCACACGACGCACCACACCACACCCACCCCACCACAGCGCCGAAGGTTTCGTGAAAATCAGAGGAGTTTTTTTGTGTCCCCGAGTTGAATATTTCCTGATCTCGTTACTGACACATGACACCTGAGCGCTGGGCGGGGCAATCTGGTCAGTGGGCGGGGTCTATAATCATAGGGCGGGGCCAGGGTATCAGAGGGAGCCAATCCGCTCGCTGTGGGGGGTTGGGGCTCGCGGGTGAGTGTGTGTGGCTATGCACAAGTAAGCGGGGCTATTGGCTGACTGGGCGTGGCGAGGCAAAAAGTAGGCGGGGTCTGGGAGAGGGAAGGATGGGCCTGCCAGCCCAACCACGTGCCCTCTCAGCAATATGGCAGCTTCACTCATGAGTGCTTTAAGCGAAACGCGCTCCATCAATATAAAGTAAGATAAGTAATTGGTGTTGCTGCTGCATTGAAGTGGATGCATCTTGGAATCCCTGCCTCACTTGATACAGCAAATCTGGATGTGACGGTCCCACCTGATGACGGAGACTTGTGTTGCCTCCAAAACGTCGTGATTTTTATTATTTTTATTATTTAATTTTTATTAATTTTTATTTCATTTTCTTACCTACGTGACTTTACCGAAAAAAATAAGAATATGGGATGCACAAGCACAACTAACTCGACAGCGTTCGTGTAACATTTTCTTTGCTGTGGGTAAGGGCCATTGCCCGAAACTTCATCTGTTATTAAAACTAATATATTTCCACAGTGTTGTCGACGAATGCGTTATTGTTATCAATGTGTGACGTACATGGCGTTATCTACATGTCCCCGGGGATAGTCTGAATTGGTCGTGAGCTTTTGTATAGCGCTACAGATTTGCTTGCCTTCAACATCTGGCCGCTCAGCAGTGTTTGTTTAAAGAGACTTGCGCGCGGAGAGCATATGTAAACTCATCCAGAGATCAGAATCAGAATGTTTATTTCGACAGGAGGAATCCGATGGGCTATGAAGCGCTTGTTCGCAGATATCCATCTGCTGGCAAACATTGCTTGCAGAAGGCCCCATGAATTGGTGGATTAAAATATACTGTAGAGGCTAATTTTCCCTATTCTGTATGCGTTTAGGGCACTTTATTATTTCGTGAAAGACTGTGATCTTTCTTTCACGTGCGACCAAGTCACAACTGTAACAAGTAATGTTTCACATTGCAGCGTATCATTTGTAGTGTCGTCGCGACTGTACTTTACATAACCAGGTAAAACACCTATTGAGATTTGCCGTCTCTACAAATACCAAATTGCCCTGCATAGATTCCAGAGTCTCAAGTGCTGGACCTATTAGAACAAGGAACTCCGGAGGATAATATGGAGTGACCAGCAGTACCACGTCCGGCCGTCTTTGTCTCCCCAGTACAGGTCTAATGTTTACACACTGCGCCCAGCACTCATTGTAGGCGAAGTCGACCTGGACGACACCAGGGACATATTCAGACACCGCTTGTCACTGATGTTGGCTGTAGCCAGGAATCGAACTTGGGTGGCCGGGTTCGCGAATCCTAGGGTCGGGTAAATGAGCAGATCGATCAATCGGTGACGTTGATGATTTGGTTCTGATGCATCAATGTCTTGACATCGATAATGATCCTTCCGATTTACATTGGAACATCGCTGTTTTGCTTTCCTTGTTGTATATATCATGCCGAATTAATTGTAAGCTCTTTAATGAAATTATTACCGGTCACTGTCCAAAAGTGCTTGACACATGTGTAGTGACACAGCGCCGACTGCTGTCCAGCAGCGGCAACTGCGGTGGACAGTTAGTGCACATGCCGTAGAGTATATAGACGGGTGTGCCGGCAAGGCGGAGGAACTGGGGCAAGGATCACGGAATACCTCATCGGGAGGCCCTTGGAACCCGCTAGTGGGTTCGCGAAGGGAGGCGTGGTCAGGGCGGAGCCAGGCTGTGCTGAGTAGAATAAAAGCAGTGGAGAGCGTGAGCTCGGGGCTGCTGATTCTGGGAGTGGACTCGTCTCGTCGTAGCTGTCCTGTCGTCTTCGCTGTCTTCGTCGCTGCCACCTTCGCCCGATAATTGTGCGGCTGGGCAGCTGTTGGCTGTCTCGGTCGACGCGGTTAGGGTTGTGTCTAGGCCGGGCTGTACGGCGACGTGGTCGAGAGAGAAGGCGATCCTGGGTGTGAACGGCCGGAAAGGTGTAACAAATAAAAGCATGTGGCTCCTGCAATTATCTCATCTCCGACTTGTGCTATACACACGCGACACTACGCATGTACACACACTCAGATAGGTTTAAAGCTCGTGCGCTGGAAAGTAGATGTAGGTTTGCTATTGGCTGAGTGTTGACCTTGCAACAACAAGCCATGTGCCTTTTTTACATGTGTATGTATACAGCATTATTCTAAATCATTAAACATTTCTACACATGTTGATGGA